GCGTATGGACAACAAAACCTAGCTTTGAAGAAAACTTGTGGAAACAAGATCTGTCTGAGAGAGAAGCCTTGCGAATTGACGCACGCAGTATTAAGGTTTGCTGCTCATATGTTGTTAAATTTCGAACAGTGTTGAAATTAAACGGTCGGACTGGCTGCTTGAGCAGTGGTTTTAAAATTCAGTAGTTGCTGGCAGTGGGAGAGCATGTGCTCCTAATGGGCCATGAGTTAGTTCCGTCCTGTGCTGCTGAGGCGTTGAAGACTGAGGTTGGGCTTTCTATTAGTCTGTATTTTGAAATTCCTACCAATGCTTCTGCTGCTTCTTCCAGGATTGGACTCTGCCTACACAGCTGCACAGCTGCACATGCTGAAGCTTCTTGTAACTGCCTTGGTACGTGGTGAATAGGCAAAGAACTGCGTGGAGGTGGTTAGGTGGGCTGTGGTGGTTAAAAAATAAGTAAAGTAAGGGCCTAATATGTATGGACGGAAAGGAGAAGGAATCAACAGAAAAGGGCCTGTGGAATGTGTTGCAAAGGTGACCTTGCACACGCTGGGGAAGGAAGGACATAGAACTTGGGCATAGGGAAGGGAAAATAACGTGAGGCAGCTGAACAAGGAGAAACTTGGAGAAGTGGTAGTATATACAGTGCTCTTAATTTGTGTGCGGTATTTGAGTAATTGTGGATATTTTTATGTATCATCTGAACAGGTATACATCCAACAGGAGATAAGCCTCAGGTAGAGCCTTCGTTGTTTATCTCTGCAGCCATGTTTTCTGGGTAGATCTGAAGTTCCATATTAATAGTAAGTGGTTGTTCAGTATTCTTGGCATGAGCTTTTGCTAGGAAATGCATATAAGTCTTGTAAAATGTAAGAAGGAGGTTCCAGTTGATTCCTCAACATTTTGAGGCACAGTTCCTAGATTATTTTCAGTGCAGTTTCCCAGTAAATATTTAATATTGAAGAGAACTTGTGATGGTTTATTGATGCAATGGAGGCATCACGATTCTCAAAATACATGAAGTCAAGTCACAGTAAAATGTTTCTGTCCTAGAACTTCCGGAGATTCCCTGCTCTGTATAATCTGTTCCCTTGCTTTCCTTCCTCTACCCTGCCTAGGTCCCTCCCCTGAGCTGGCAGCCGAGTGTGTTCTGCAACCCACGTTGATGAAGCCTCCAGGACGGGACAAAGTGCTCTGCAGACAGGTCCCATTTATTCATTTCTCTCAAAGCCGGTAAGTTCCTAGGTGGTGGTAGGAAGCTAGTGAAGGAGAGAGACCCGTAAACCTTGGAAGTCTTTTGAGTAGAATGTTTAATAGAACAATAAAAGTTGGTGGTCGCATGATAACTTTATTACTTTTCATGAAAACTTGACTAGTATCTCCCGTCACTGTTGTGAGTTTATATGTTCTTCTGTTCTTTTAAAGGTATTATTCCATAAACATGATCATCTTTCATGAATGCTTGCTTTCCTTACCAAAGGTTATATCTTTCCTTTTGCCCCATTTTCACAAAAAGACTTTGAGCTGCTGAAAAGGCAAACAGCCCTTCCCTTCAAATTTTTACATAATGTGTCAGTTCAGCACCACTAATATGGTGAATTACCTTACCAAGCATATGATAGTGATATGACGACGCTCCAGATTATCACTAGCCTGGGAAGGTGACCTGTGTTGCAGAGCTGTTCTCTGCCTGGAAGTGCAACAGTAAGGCAGCGCAGCTGTTCTTGACCGCGTCTGGAGTTCTCCTCTGACCGCTCGTATGATGCTTTATGGGATGTATAAGCACATCAAGTTTCATTGGGCAAGCAGCAAGTTTCACAAATGTGCAGGAGAGTTGCTTTAAAATGCCAGATGTGTTTACTGCGTTTTTTTATTTGAGTGATGGACCAAGAACTACTAAAAGCCAACGGTTAAAAATGATTCATGTCTTAATCATTATCTGTATTTTTTTATTCAGATTTCAAATGCCCACAAGGTAATAAAATTGGGAAAGTAAATGTGAAAAGATGGAACACCACCAGCCCACCACTCTTAAGGTAGAGGTAAGTTACCTTGATGTAGTACTCAAAGCTTGTATTGATTCTTCTGACAGAATACTAGAGGCGTCAGCAACTTTTAAACTAGGACTGTATTTGGCTTATATTTCTTCAGCAGCTGAGGCTTGAAGAAACTGAGTTTCTTTACGCATTCAGTTGCATGGAAAAGTCAGTAACCGAAGCTAGAAGAAAGACAACAAATTTTCTCCCTACTTCAGTGTAAAAACACCGAACTGTGTATGCTACCCCTTAAAAAAAGGATTATGTGTATCATGGTGATAAACCCCTTTAATCAGTTATGGAAAAGAATATAAAAGCAACTTTCAAATAATGACCAATGAAAGTCCAAATAATTTGTCTTGAACTAAGGACTCATTTACCCTCACTTTGGGCAGTTAGGGTTTATTTCATATAAATGAATGCTAAAGACATAGCCTGATTTGGCAGAGTATATACTGCTGTTCACCACAGGTAAATGTTGTCTTTGATTTGTCTGACTTCTTCCTGAGAAAATACAGAAATCGCAGTGGACTGTTAAATTTGAAAAATGCTTGCAAGATTCCCCAGCTGGGGAAAAAAACAAGAAGTACATTTTGTTGGCCTGTAACTGCATGAACACAACTGAAATAACAACACGGTAAATAACAATAGTTTATAAGCAAAGGTGGAAAAAAAATCTAAAGCAGAAAGCAAAAAGAGTCCTATTCACACGTTTCTTTGAGAACAACATTGGAATAGATATAACAATTCTTGTAAGCAGAATCAGCGTGTGGCCAATATAAAACAGAATCTGTATTTTTGAACAAAAAAGTCCTGCTACTAAAATAAGGCAAGGAGCGACTGCTGTTGAAGAGGATGCACTGGAATGGTGACATTTTGTTGACAATTAGCTATCATCAGATTCTACCATCTGTGTAAATTGTTTCACAATTTATTGATACTGATTGTGCTATTTTAACTAGGTTAGCAAGGAAAAAAATACTAACCTTGATGTGACAGTTTCTTTAGTTGTGCATTAAACAACTTACTTACTTAATGTTAAATTTGAAAATGGATGGATTAAATGAGACATTGGAATAACTTTTCCATATAAAGCAACTCAGCAACTATGGCTAGATACCTGCCAGCTACTTTACTTAAACTCACTCACTTTTTATTACAACATGTGTAGTATAGCACTGTAATACTAATTTTGTTCCTGGGAAGCGCTATGACTATTTTAATTAGAAAAATACAAGCAAATTAGCATCACTTTTAAAATGTGAAAAGTCTTTGAATTTTATAATATTTTTATGCATCACCTTTTGGTATTTCATATGGTTTATTTATTTTACTGTAGCAAAAGGAAGGAAGGAAAGAGAAAGGAAAAATTCTAGATACAGAGCAATCAAGACTGAAATAAGTAATGAGCGAGCTATTGTCTGCAGCTAATAATAAAATTTATTTTTATAATAAAAAATACGAGTGTTGTTTCTTGTTTAGCTAAAACTGGTTTGAAAACACAACCAACCCCAGATGATCGTCTCCAGTCTAGTTCTGCTTTTTGACTAGCATCTATTGCGTCATTGTTACCTGTGAGTAAAATGTGTTGCTAGGCCACAGCTGTATCATTTACAGTACCTAGAAGCATTAAAATACTGTAACAAGCCTAAGAACAGCTCATCCTAGCTATATCATACAGTATCGATCTCTCTCTGTGTCCTCATGATTGGCAAACGGGACATTTCTAATAGTATGTATGCTTGTTATGCATTTATCTGAGAACGAGCGACAATCAGTGTGTTCTGAGTATCATACTGCCAACTATATATGTGCAAGACAGCTCATTTGCCTAATCATGGCTTTTGTCATGAAATTACAACACAACACCCAACAGTTCTGCATGTAGTCAGAGCCTGAATTTGTCTATCCTTTTAGGACATTTACTGTTTGCATTACGTTATTACACAGTCTCAGTCATAAAGAGTTAAAAGAAAACAGTGGTTTACTATTACTTGACAGACTGGGTTGTAAATTTAATGTACAACCCTCACAGTCACTGAAATGAGTGCAAAGTACGGCTATGAGTAACTGATGTTTCTGCTCTTCATCGCTTCTTGTGAACTGTTTGTGTACTGCTTCCTACTGGTCATGCCCAGCCTGTAAGTAAGTAAGTAAGTCAAGACTTAAGTAAGTTATTTTTGTCTCTCCCTTACGTCAGATAACTGCACTAAACATGACATTTTTAAACTGTGCCTTAAAAAAAAGGGGGGGGGGGGTGGTGGATTGATTTTTTTTTTTTCCACACAGTCTTTCTTATGTTTGGGCCACAAAAGCAGAAACCTCATTCGACAGTATAATTAATTAACATCATTCATTACTTATTGGGCTGGAATATACTTTGAAAATAACCTGTGTCATCAGGTGATGATAGTATTTTGTGTGTAGGCACACAATGCTAATAATACAGAAATGAAGAGGTCATTTTAGACTCTGTATTATTTCCTAACTCAACTTTTACAACTGTTGGGTTCAATGGGGCAAGCTACTCTTCACGCAAATTCAGATGTTCTATAAATGCTATGTTTTTTTCATTACTGCAAATCATCTCCTTTGCTAGAGCTAGACTAAAATGGCTGTATTTTGATGGTGCGTACTCTTACTTGGCATCTGAAACTGCAGGCTGATCTTAGGCTGGACATACTCAAACAAACAGCAGTGCAAGGAGCAGGTTTTATGTTTGGTTCTTTATGCCAAAGAGCATGATGCCATCTTTGCCTTCACAGCATTAAACTGCGTGGAAGACTCGAGTTATATACAAGTAAAAGAAAGAAGTGCTTGGCTAAGAAGATACATGTAGAGGAACAAGTTGTCAAAGAACACCCACTTATCATCAAACCACTGAAACACTGCCAGCCTATCAATCAGTCACATACATACATAGACATCAGCTGTTTCCGTTACAGTCGCACAGGAGCCAGAGGGTTACACTTACTTAATGTTTATTTCATAGTTGCACATAGCGTACAGGGTTCTTCTTCCACTGTTAAACATTGTCTATAAGATACGTTCTTTGTGAACAGAAATATATAAGCCTGCAGAAATAAAGCAAAGCAAGAACCCTGTGATACAGAGCTAGCACCTTTTGATTGGAGAGTGTTTTAGTATTCCCTTATGATTCTTAGCACTTTCCCCTCTCCCCCAAACACACTACGTTTGTTAGTTATTCAGTTGAGACAACCTCTGTAGTCCTGCCTGGAGCAAAACCTGTAAATGGAAGATTGGTCTGATGGATAGTAAGATTTAGTCCAAGAGCTATTTTCATACTAAGTAAGTTTCCCTATTATTAAAAACAAGTTCTTGAAATACTCAAAGCTCAGCGACTGTAAAATACATAGCTATGGCTGGTTTGGGGGCTTATAAGAGCTTCAGTTAAAAACATACTAACTCTGATCTCAAACACATGCCTTAAAAATTGGCCCAGTCATTTTATGTAACTCTAGATAAGTAAGTAAGTTTGGTACCTGCTAATTCCATAACCGTGAGCTGAATAAGTTCTTGTAGGTATGGAGCAAGTTAAGCAGTTTTTCCTTAGATTTACCTACAGGAAGCTAAAACACTAAGTTGCGTTTTTCGGTGAGGTGCCTTTTAGTGTTAAAGCTCCCCCTGAAGGTTGTTCTTGGGTTTTGCTTCATCTTGACTAGGCAGTAGCAGATAAAAATGACAATCTCTGAATCTGTATTGAAACCAGCCATTGGATATGTATGTAGCTTAAATTTATATCATTCTTGCCTACTCATTATATGAGTAGACAGGACAGAAGAACATGCCATGAAGCCTCCCAAAGAGGTATCAGTATCAGATTTTTCTCTTTTGTCTCTTAGAATACTGCAAGACTGACAGAAGAAGTGAAGTTAGTCAAGAAGTGACTGTCAGGAAAAACTTAAGTCTACAGAAGGATGGTAATAACTTTTCTCTCAGCAGAGAACACTAAGTGTATGGAAAGTATAACATGTTATCAGCAGATTATGAAGAACATGGGGAACTCAGTTCTTTATGATGAGGTTAAGACAGCATTTTCCATAGTCATCTTTCCTGTTTCCACATTCTTAATGCAATCCCCACTTTCTCTCAGTGTCAGCCTGAATCTTTTACTGATGCAAAATAGCAGAAAGTAAAGCAATTTTAGTCATTTGGTGTGAAATCCTTTAAGCAACTCTGGCTAAGGGATAGCTTTCAATCCTGGAAGAGAAAAAAAAAGAGAAAAAAAAAAAAAAGCAAAAGCAGTCTGTCAGAAGATATGCATGTTCCTAACATTTCTGTGTTGGGTATACAAAGCATGGTTCATTTGAGAATATAGTTATTTCTCTAACTTAATCTGATTTTTAAGTAAGTAAGTAAGTAAGTAAGTGTCTTAAATGGCCAGTGAGCCTTTTCTCCATAACAAACGCTACCCATTTCAGTGCTATAGCAACTAGTAGCATCAAGGTCAAAGTCAAATCATTAAACTGTGAACAGTTTTGTTTAGCAAGGGGCAGATGTCAGAATTGGCATGATTCGCTGTCTCCAGGAAACTGAAAAACAAGCTTTTTTCATATTTATGAGAACCACCAAGAACAGGAAGTTATTGTATACTGGAGAAGTAAACATCACAAAATTTCTACCATAGAAGTTGGAATTCTCCAATACAAATATGATCAAAGACACCAAGAATGAAATTCCAAATTTCAGATGCACTGAAAAATCAAGACAATGAGTATCTTTAAGGGACTCAGCATGATAAATAATAGCTAGTTGAATGACAGTAGCATGTACATGCTACTTACTTTTAGTATATAAGCTACACTATTCAGTTACCTATCAATCAGCATTATTATTCAGTAATCAGTAGATAATGAGTTGTCTAACAGCATACAAACACAGCAAGAAACTACATGTGAAGCTTGGAGTAAAGGTGAAGTTAAACTTGATAGCAGTTTGAGAAGTGCTGCCTGGCAACAGAATAATTTTGTTTTACCTGAAACTTGCACTAGAGACCTCGAGAAACTTCACCTACAAGCAATTCTCATTTAATGACCTTGCTCTATTCAAAGGCTGAGTATGCGCCTCTTTTTTCATCCTTATAATGAAAAGTATGACTGACTAACTTTTCAAATAAGGTAGGAGAGGTTTTTGGCTTGTTCTTTTACAGTAAGCATTACTTCCTTAACATGTTATTAGGTATGGTAATTGTATTCAGCTGCAACGCAGCTGAATGAGTTTTAGAGATCAGTAATAAAACATTGTTTGCAGAGTATCTTATTTTTAGTCCTACCTCGGTTTACATCTCACATATCCTTTTTGAACCTGCCAGATGTTTTACCCTTGGTCTAGTCAGCTCACAAAACTGTCTTTTTCTTGGTCGTGTCTCCCACAAAGCTAGTGCTACTCTGTTCCTTACGTTCCTTTATTTGTGCTTCTCTTCCATGTTCTGTCCCTAGATGTCTTCATCAAATTCCAGTATTTGGAACACGTTTGTAAACTGGCCACGGTTATCCTTCTCAAGCGTTTACCTCATATTCAAACTTGACATAAACAGCTTCTGCCATCTTGTTTTCTAATTTTACTTTAAATAACTCTATTAAAAAAAAAAACCACCACTGCTCTGCATTTCCTGGATCAGGCACTGCTCTCTCTCAGTGAAGTTTCCATGGTGCTTAATATGCTTTAATAATAGTGCAGAATAATTAATATTTAGGGTACTGCCTACTCAAAACACTGTATCTTTAAACTCTCCATCCGAGAGCAGAACGCTGAAAAAGGTCCTAATTCCCTAGTCTGTTTACCCAGTACAGACACCAGTGGCCAGAAAAGTGCCTTGTACATGGTAACAGAGGTGACTGTTACAGCAACACCCCTTTTTTTGTTAAGGTAATTATGGGTCAGTGAAAAAATGACAGATTGTTTTTCTGTATACCACCTATTAATTATCGCTGTTTTGCACCAGATAAATACAGCCCCTTGAGTTTAGTCAGTCATGTTGCCTTTTTTTTTTTTTTTTTTTTTTTTAAAGTCACAAAGCTTTTTGCAGCCTGGTTAAGTTAACAACTCCTGATTTCTCTTGCAAGCCAACTTTGGCTACTGTTTTCTTTGAAGTTAAATTAAGTACTTAGGGATTTCAGAAACTGTACAGTTCATCTAGATAAACTTACGTGTTTCCGTATTTCTCCCGTCCTCTCAATTACAATAGTTTGTGATTTATTGACTGGTGATGTAACCTTGTAGTCATCAGACAAGAGACCCAGAATTGGATACTGATTCCTATACCTGTATTAAAAGAGTTGCAATCCTGTAAAATACAACACTAAAATCTGCATACCTACAGCTAAGTCATGAAGTTTATAATTCTGCTAGTTTCGTTATCAAACCCCAAATATCTCTAGTAGTAACTAAAAAACTGTCTTTTAAATATCAATTTGACATACTGGTTACTCTTCTAATTGCTATTACGATGCTTAGTAGGAATATCTGTGTTGAATCCACCCTAGATAGGTTTTTCTAGCTTGACTTTTTCTCCGAAAAGCTGAAGAGACAGAGTGTTAAGAAGTGTGCAGGATGTAAGGATTTAATTAATAGAAACTATACAATGGAAATCAAAAGAAAAATGAACAACTACATTACTTCTTAGTGATGATGGCTGTTACACCAGGAGACTGATTGCCTGATACTCTCTCTTGCTTCAATCTGAAGATGTCCTGAGAAAACCAAAAATAAACAAACATTCAAATGCATTAGTATTTGCTAATTCACCAAAGTCACAACAAAATACTTGCAGAAATTCCTCTTGAAGAACAGTCTAAAACATTCTGTCCTTCCAAAAGACTAGCAGAGGAAAGCGTCATCAAACAATCAGTTAAAAAAAAAAAAAAAAACCTAATTCTGATTTTGGAGGGTGTAAGCGACTTCTTAGTACATTGCCATCTTCATAGGCAGTATGTTATCTTACCTCTTGTTGTTGCTTAATAAAAGCATCTTTCTCCTCCAGCATTGATGTCAGTTCATGCAACCTTATTTGCAAGTCACTGTTACTTCCTTCTCTCCTTGATATATCGTGCTGGAATTGTGATAACTGAGACTAAAAAAGAAATATGATAAAGAATAGTTAAGTGTTCTGTGTTTCTTGCAGGTGACCTTTAAGCATGCATCTACAACTCTGGATATACTTTTTCTTTAGAATCATGAACACTAACACTTGAATTAGTAGGATTTAAAAAACCATACATATATACATGCATATATATATAGCACAAAAAGACCTGATCACTTTTAAATGAAAAGGTTGGGCTGCACAATAAATTTGGAGAGTACTAGTTGGACTTAATTCAACATTCGTAACTTGCAACACTGAACAAACTGGTTTCCAGGATGATAAAATATTAATACAACAGATTTAGCTTTATTTTCTAGATTCTTTTTAATCACAGTTTTGTGTTCTACCACAAGGGTTTTGGATCAGTCATTAATATCATGCAAGGTAATTGCAGAAATCTAAAGAGTACATTTGTGGTAGATCTTTTCTCTTTCTTAATTAAAAAATAACCTATATACCTGCAGTCAATACAAGGTGAGGAATACACTCATATCAAGTCAATCAACGTACCCTAAGGCTGCGGATCTCACGATCTTTATCCTCTCTCAAGTTGTTGATCATCTCTACGTACCGGCTAGAGAGTTCATCTGTGGTGGTCTGAAGTGTTGGATTAGAACAGGTCTACAGAAAATGAAAAATAGCTTTTATTTTTAAAAGAATGTTAGTAAGTTTAATTGCTCTTCATTGTCTTTGTGTTACTACCGTTGAATTTGAGTAACAGCTTCTGTAAACAGAAAAATGAGCCTATTACCTGTAGTTTCAGGTTCTGGATCTCTTGCTCCAAGGCACGCTTGCAGTACTCCAGTTCTTTTAACTTACAATCCTTTTCTCCCTCACTGAGCCGAAGAGAAAGAAGTTGTTCTTCCAGAGAGTGGCATTTTGCAGTACTGTCTCTGAGTCCTTGCTGGAATATACCACGCGTTAATTACTCAAAATACTCAAAGGCCAGCATACGGGCTAGTTTTTGGATAACTGCAATTATACTGAGAATGTTTTTAGATTTACCTGCTGCTGACGATTATTTGCTCTCAAGGAAGTCAACATAGTTTCGTACTCTTTCACTTGAGAATCTTTAAAAGACAAATCCTTCTTAAGACAGACGTTGTCAGTTTCTAATTTCTGTAAGACAAAAGTGTTTACTGTCAATAGCTGCAATTCTTCAGTAAACCTTTCCCACCTTCAAAATACAAAGGAACGAGTAATTAATAAGTGATGATTTAGAACTGAGAAAATCTTTAGTTTTCTTGGGACTGCTTTTGTTTTTGTACTGCATGGCTCAGAGCTGCTCATCACTGTAGTATGTGTGGCTTCCTGTTGCGTGGCAAGCACTGTAGTCTTGGATACTGCTCCTTCAGCCTGTCCCCGAAAGAATTATTTGTAGCTATTGAACAGAAACCAACAAAAATCTAAAACAAAGACCACTTCACTGCACAGACTACTTGTTTTATGTTAAGGATGACAGGGAAAACTCCCTCTCTCCTAATACTGCATTTTAAAAGAGAATGTTGTCAAAGTTTCCAAGCTGACTAAGAGAAGGTTCTGCCATGAGAATTTTTCTGCTTTCAGAACAGCAGTTATCTACAGTCTGAATTGGAGCTGTAGAACTGCAGCCTCTGAACTCTGGTACTCCCCCCCGGGGAATCTTTGGAGTTCTTAAAGGTACCAGCTGACAACAGCCCTTCTGTAAGTGGGGATACAACTTTCAGTTAGGAGTGAATGGAACTGAGGACCCCTGCTTCCTGGAACAGTGCTAGTATATAAGCAGTTGGTGTATGCCTTGTCCATGTTAAAAGTAAAAACATTAAGTAATGAGGTAATCAAGTAGCGAAACATTAAGTAATGAGGTAATTCAAAATTCTAAATCTTAAGTTCACTGTTCAGGGTCTTTCCTTCCTTTGAAAGTGTGTCTTTGGTGTTTTTGGTTCTACAAATTAAAAACTTGAAATCCACTGCTACAGAAAAATCTTCTAACCTCATCCCACTGTACAAGTCATGCAAGGCTATTAATAAATTCACAGTTCATACTGAAGTATATTAAAGTTTTAAGTTTTAAACTTCATTGCAATGGACTTTCTTCGCTGACAGGTATCAACAAGGGAACTGTTGTTCCATGCTGAAGTGTGACTTACCCCCAAATCATCCTGTAAATGGCAAAGCTCTTCACGTAAATTTCTGAAAGTGGAAAGCACAAGCCTCAATGATTTATCTGATGTCACTCTCATCTAGGAGGAAAGAAAACAAATGAAAAATACGTATTCTTCTGATTTATTAGTGAGCTTCGTTTACAGTATGCTTAGCAATGTGTAAAAGAACAGAACTGCTGAAATAACTGAATAGCTGAAAATAACTTTTACTCCTAGAACCGCTGCCAAGTCATTGTAGAAACTGCAGACACTAAGAAAGACACATTTTCATGTGTTTCAGTTTGTTCTGCAAATAGCACAATTTTTGAACTATCGGGCCTTATAATACAGGATAGAACATTTTTAAAAAGGAAGGAGCTACAGAAGAAAGGAGAGCTGAATTTGTGCTCTAATGAAGGGAAAAATAAATGGGTCAATATTTCACAATCAGGTTTTCTGAGAGTTCACAGCTCTGTGAGTTATAGTGATTTAAAAAAGCAGCACCCTA